TTAAGTTTATAAACGTGTTCTACGCAAAACGAGGATTGTAGATATTGGTACGTGTTTTATATTGTTAAAGAATAGAATATTTTAAAAGTAATTAATATGATTTGATAATTAAATTTTTTTTATATCGAAATATTAGAATATTTTTCTTTTTTTTTTTTCAATTAAATTTTAAGATTTCAATCGAATTTTCAATATTTTAAGATTATCAATGAGTGTATGTTAAAGTAAAATTAATTTAAAGTATATTACCCTCCCCTCCTCCGTTCTATACATTCTTTAATTCCTTTTTAAGTAAACTTTGTGGTCTAATAAAAAAAAGGAAAAAAGATAAAAGACAACCGCGAGTATAACAATAAAATAAAATGTTTTTAATTTCTGATTATTTAGCAATGCATTAAACACAATGTAAACTTTTTCTTTTTCTTTTAATTATACCACACCGAGGCCTTGTTTAATAAAGATATCTTTTAACGATCTAATCTAATTAATCTTTCCAAAGAATTAGCTATAAGTCATTTTCCCTTGTTCTCAACTTCCTCTTTTGTTTCAAATCATTAAAATCAAATGAGTTACGCGTTTGACGTATTAACCTTTAACTATACACATTTACACATATTTGCAAATATTTATACTGACATATACGAGTACACGTGTATAGAAGATAGTTAAGATAAAATACATAGTAGATAGTTAGATAAAGTATTAAAAAAAAATTATAAAATTTAGAAATAAATTTCATATAATTTTCAATTACCGTTTCAAACGAACGAACACTATCGGGATACCTATTGCGTTTACGCGAATTTTTTTTTCTTTTTTTTTTGTAAATAATAATAAAAAAAAAGAAACAATTTGCGATTAAAATCATTTTTTTTTTTTTCTCGTTTTTTTTTTTTGCGTATTTATCCGAATGTTACTTAACTAAAAGTGAACGGGGACATTCGTATCCGCTTTTAAAATGCAAATTGGTTTAAAAGATATGTAATATTAAAACTATACTACCTACTTATTACTATAATTTTTGTTTTCTTAACTCTTGCTAACACAGATAATATTATACACGTCCCTGTTTTTTCTATATTAATACAACTTTTTTTTTTTTTCTTTACCATGCTTAAAAAAGAAAGCTCCGTTATGCTAAGTATAATTATTTCACGTGTTTGGATATAAATAAACATTTAATTATCAATATTAATCGAAATTTAATTAAAATTAACGTAACGGAACTTTTTATGAAAGAGAAAGAGAGAGAGAGAGAGAGAGAGGTTCGTTTGTTCGTAACAATTTCGATAAAAAAAACAATCTTTTACAGTATGTATAAATTTTTCAATCACATTTCTACTATGGTTGAATTTTTAAATTAGTATAAGTATTATTGTGTGTTAAATTATTTCTATATAAAAGCATCAGTGTTGAATTTATTTTTATATTAAAATTTACACACATTGTGTATCACAATCAAATAAACCAACGTTATATATATATATATATATAATAAAAATTGATATAAGTGTTGTCATTGTTAAATTATTTCTATAGAAAAATTGTCACATTGTATTACGATCAAACGAACCAACGTTATATGGTTGAATTAAATTGACATAAGTGTTGTTACTGTTGTTGTTAAATTATTTCTGTGTATATAAAATCATTAGTTTATTATATTTTTCTATAAAAATTGTCATACATTGTGTATCACACAATCAAAAGAACCAACGTTACTTTATTCATTTCTCTTTCTCTCGTTTCTATATATATATATATATATATATATTTATATGTATAAAATTAAATCTAATAAGTTTGTTTGATAAAAAAAGGTTCAGTACAATGCATACCTTCCCGGCGCATGCCCATCTTCAAGCACTTCTTCAGCCGACAGAATTGGCACTGATTTCTGTGATGTTGGTCGATGGGACAGGTCCTGTTTCCTCGACACGAGTACGACAGATTCCTCCTTACACTCCTCTTGAAGAAACTCTTGCATCCTTTAAGCAAAAAAATAATATACGTGCTCTCGTTAAATTTTCATTTTTATATATCGCTTTTTCCTTTTTTTTTTTTTTTTTT